TTACAAAAGAGGAAGTATCAATGGATTGAATAAACATTGTATCAATTAGAGAATAGACCAAGAAATTAATTACACTCCTCTATTTCCTATCTGTCTATCCATCAGACATAAAAGCGACCCCATATCTTGTCCATTGACTCTTATAGTACTCCAACAGCTTCTTTATGTACTCCAACTCCTTGTTAAGGTAAGAAAACCCTTAATTCATGATAACTGAGAGGTCAGAGAATTGGTCCATATTGCCTAATTGTTTCCATCATTTTCTTGAAGCTTGTTGAACGGGTCACATTAAATGCAATCCCATTTTCATAAAAGAATCAAGCTATATATTGAAATGTTAATGGTCACATTTCTTTGCCATTCTCTTTTATATTTAATGGCTTGCCCTTGTCATGTTTCAACTTCCTCTTTTCAAGAATAGCTTTTGGCTTTTGATACATATATAAATCTAATGAGTCTTTAGCTCTTCTAGTTGTCTTGGCCTTCTTATTCTTAAGTCCTCCAATGGATAAAGTAAAATCGAAAAATATCTTGACAATTCTCTTAATTCAACTTCCTCTTCATCATCACCAAAACCAAAATCATTAACATCAAAACTACTGCCACTAGTTAATAACATCTCCTTAAAATTTCTAGTTTGTAGGTTTACAAACAACTCATCCCTAACCATCTATGGTTAACTAGGACATGCTATTATGTCTTGCTCTAGTTATCCCACTAGTTGTAACTTTGTTACAAAAGTTACACATCATGCAACTTGTGTTATTAGGGTCTACCAATTTGTCATATTTCCACCCAATATCCTCTTTTAATTTACTTGTCTTTGATTTTGATGAGTTATTTGTGGATACACTTGCACTTGCCATGTTTGTTAGTCCATAAAGGAATAATAAACTATTAATGAAAATCAAATAAATGTTGTAAGGAGAGTCATCAAATAGGAGAACAAATTAATTGAAAAAAAAAATAGAGTCTAGAATTGGATGTGTATGCCTATGTCTAAAGAAAAAGAAAAAATAGATGAAAACAAAGAAAAAAACAAGATGGCTTCAGAATTTTAAAGAACAATGAAAGATGAGAATAAATAAATTGAAAAAAAAAAGAGAAAAAGAAAAAGAGATGGATTCAGTTGAAAAAATAAATGAAAGAGAGAGAGAGAGAGAGAGAGAGAGAGAGAGAGAGAGAGAGAAAGAGATGGATTTAGATTTTAGACTTAAAAGTTAGAACTTAGAACAATCAAAGAGAACAAACAAATTTAAAAAGGAAAAAAAAAGGAAAAAAAAGATTAGTACTAAGCAAAGGTTGAGTCACGCCAAATCTCGGCTTTGTGTTCATGGGATCACCTGATAGAGTGGGTTATTGTCAACAACTTCTTTTAAGAGTGATTGGGTAGCTTCTTTGAAAAGAAGAGAAAGGGATTAGGGTGGCTTCTATTATGTGAGGACGTACAAATGCATGAACTAGGGTTTTGTTTCTATTTATGGATAAAAAGGATTTTTCCTTTTTTTAATAGAATTAAAGCCAAAAGACCATCATATACTTAAAAAGGATCCGATGTTAAACTTTTTTTGTTTTTGACTCTTCATTGAATATTTAAATAGCTTAATGGCAGCCACTATTCGCTATGGAAAAAGCGACCATTATTGTGAACTTGCTACACTACAAGCATAGTAATAGTGGATAAGCTATGGACCACTACACTATGGTCTCTATAGCAGCATAACGACTGCTATTAACAATACTACTAAAGATTATACAACCCGAGGATAGCTAGTAGCACTTTATTGGAAGATACCAACCAAGGTAAGGTTAGTCTTCATTGGGTATCCCCACTTATTCTCTCTTATACACACACTTTCATGCATCTTTCTTGTATCCATCTTCATCCTCTAACTCTCCACTCACCCATATGAAGATTTTCTCGAAGATCTATATCTTACAATGAGTGTCATAATTCCAAGCCAAAGACCAACTCTAGTCTTTTACTAAGGTCTAATCCGCCCCTTGTTTTATAGGTTCTTTATCAAAAACCTAATGGCCATCCACATGCGTACATTTAAAAAAAGTCCACTGTCTACCATCCATAGTTCCTTATTGGAAACTTGGTTGTGACTTTCAACATCGTTACCATGGGGCTCGAACCTACAACCACAAGGTTAAGAGCCTTGAAGCCCTTTTTGTGGATATGATTATGCAGCTTATATGCTAAAGCAAACAATACCTCATGGCGGGATGTAGTGCAATTCTTGGGGTCAACAAGATTCTAACATTCTTGAATGAATGGTGGAAACTATTATTAGTAAGGTATTATGTAATTTCCTCGATAAGATTCTACTATTCTAACTTAATTTCATTAAGTTTGAAACTAAGTTAGCGCTAAGGTCATTGAAATTAATATATCCCCTTAAAGTAATGAAAAACATGCTTTCTCTTAAGGCTTTTGCCAATTTCAAGTATTTTATTGTGGGAGAACTGTTTTACCAAGTGCTATGTTCAACGACTAATAGTCCATGTTTGGATTGGATCATTAAATCAAGTCCAATTTTGACAAGTTTAGTGACAATTATAGTTGAAACACATTGAAACTTCTTAAAAAAGGGGTCACAATTCCAAGACAAGTTTTTGGACTTGGTGCCACAACAAATTTTGGCATCGAGGCCATAGAGAAATACAAAAAATTCACACCTGTAGAGATTGAGTAATTAGAGCTTGATATTTATCCTAGTGCTACAGTAGCAAAGTTTCAACAGGTGAGGATAGAAATATGATTTTCTTGCATCGAGGCAAAATGTGTCATACAAATTTAATACAAACAGAATACAATAATATTTGAGTCTATTTAATCATGAACACCACTAGCTAGCAACCATAACTTGCTAATTTGACCAACAACCTGTTGGTGTCCCAATCCTGAGCATGGGATCGAATAGGAATTTTTTTTTTTTTTACTAACTTTTTGATATCTGACAATCACATTGAGTCTGATTAATCCGAAATCAAGTCGCATCGGACTCCATTAAAAAGAAGTTTTTCTAACATTTGTTTTTTTATTTATAAAACTCAAACTCAAGATTTTATTTAAAAAAAATTGAATTTTTTTTATTTAGACCAACAAATTATTAGTGAGATCAAATAGGATTTCCCTTCATAATGAGCAGATTTTGAACAATGGGTCTGAGGCTTAGGTTTAAGCTCGGCTCAAGCTTGGCTCAAGACTAGGACCAAGCTCAGGCCCGTTTGAATAAAAAAAAAAAAAAGCATTGTACTATAAAATACTTTCTTAAAACAAAATTTAATTATTTTTCACGTAATTAGGGATCACTTTGTACTTATGTTCTACATGATAAAATTAATTTTCCCTAATTTGCTCTGTGAGTTTTTCCCTTTTAAAGGTTTTTCACGTCATTTGTAGGTTTTTCTCTTTTTTCATCGTAATGTATTCGTTACTAGTTGTTCAGTCCCTTCAAAGTCGCATGTTAACCGTTGGGATAGCCTCGGTGCTGCTCTCTGGTATCCTTTGCTATTAGATGTCTCAGTACTTGCCATGTTGTTCATGCTCTCTGAGAGGGGAACTCTGCAACCGACTTTATGGCTGCATTTGGCAATGATTCTCCTATGGTTTCCACAATCTTTCTAGTTTCTTTATTAGACAATAGCATGATGTTGCAGGGTGATAGTTTAGGACTATGTTCCTAAGGAATTAAGCTGTAATTCTAGTTTTGATGCACAAGGAAAAAAAAAAATTCTTGCTTTATAACCATTTTCTCAAAGCAAAGTTTAATTATTGAAGTATTTAACAAAGCGTTAGTAAAATATCAATGTTTAACCACCTTAAACTTACCTCAAAAATTCATAAAATTTCAAATTTTCAATATTAAAAAAACTAAATTAAAGAAAAATGACAGTCTCGATCCTACTCGATCCGAGACCAGTCCAAGATTAGAATTGCTCATTTCCTTAACGGGCTGGTCTTGAACACAGATTTTAAAGCTTTGGACAGTTCGTTAAGAACCTCTAACATCTATATAAATAGTAAAATATAATTGCTTCGAGTTGAAACATTGAATTTGAAGCCCGTCTTTGACCTTGAAATATTAAAAATGAAAATCAAGTTTGTGTTTTGCAATCCTTCTTAATTATGACTTTAAATGAGTTAAGTTATTTATTAATTACTTGAGCTGAATTAAAGTTAAATTTAACTCAACTTAAACTTAAGTTTGAATTAAAAAAAATTGAGTTAATGTAAGTTTGAATTAAACCCAAAACTTAATTTGACTCGACTTAATTCAATTCGATTAAACTCAACTTAATTCAATTTGACTCAATTTAATTCAATTAAATT